GAAATATTTACGAATTTATTATACTGTTTTTCTACGTTTATTATACGTTTTTTAAACGTATTATTTCCGTATACTTTTCTTATACATATTATTTATAGGGATTTACAAGAGTATTGAATTCATGTATATAAGGATTTTTTACTTTTCTCGCATTTTATTTACTAAATATTTAGCTAACAAATATTGTTATGCTTTAGTTGAAAATTATTAACTCCTGAGCAAATAAGCAAACATATCAATAAATGATATTCTGTTATGAATTAATTTTGGGACTTTATTTTGTTACATGAGTAGAATATGTTTATTGAACATTCTTATGCATTATGATGTATCATTATTCTAATCAAGTAGAATGGAAAAATAAAGTTTCTAAATTTATTTTAAGAATAAAATTCGCATACGTATGACATATAACTTTACCTTAATACAGAATAATACAATTACAAACTTAAAATTTTTTCATAATAAAATAAATACAATAATAAAAATATAAGTCTGAATGTTACTCTATAAGTATTAAGTTTTTTTTTCCTTATATTTTCATATTGTTAACGTGCGATTTTAGTGGATCGTTACAATTAAACGAGGTGTTTAAATATTATTTCTTTTTAATATACGTAGTAATCTACTGATTTATTCCAAAATCCTGGACTTATAACTGGTATCATTCAAATGTATTAAAACTATACACACTTACTCTAATTTTCAAATGTAATATATTGCTTCATATAATACTAATTTCAATAATTGATATTATAATGTATAATAATGATGCTGTTCAAAACCTATTTTAATGTATAACTTAAAAATTAAGAAACTATTTCGAAACCTTTAAAATAACTTTTTTTAAATCTAAAACTTAATAAAATTTAATTAAGTTTAGGAAAACCTATTAGAAGTTTAGGTAAAGATATTTATTATAAACAAATAGTTTTATCTCAAATATCTCAAAACTCAAATTTTCTAAAAATAGTTTAAGGTGGCATTTTTAATGTATAATTATATTTTTATTATAAGATAAATTACTTTAGCTTTCTAATAATATATAATCATTTTTTGTTAAATTATTTTCTGAATCTCATTCCATATACTTTTTAAATTAATGAAATTATTTAATAATATTGATATCTTTTTTTTTTTATTAATCATTAATTATATTTTAAAATGAAATTTTTTTTTTAATTTAATGATAATAATAAATTTTTTTGATATTAAATTAGCAACATATTTTTTTGCTAATTTGGAAATATAATTCTATATCTACCATTTGAAAAAATAAGTACTAAATCCCAATTTCTTATCTTCCAATTTACTAGTTCTTTCATGTCATAATGATTGAACAAGTTACTAAAATAGTGATTAGAATTCCAAAAACATTTAATCACCTTTTTTACTATATGTATTTTTTTTCATTTTTTTCATTATTTCATTATAAAAACGAATTATTTATGAAAAAACATAAGGTTCTGTATCCTATATTCTTGGTGTAAAGAATATAATAATGAAGTCCAAATTATTTATGAGCATTATTATTTAAAAACATAATATGATATTTTAAATGTTATCTCTGAGATCGTCTAGAAGGCAAATTTGTTTGCGACTAAAAAAAACAGATATTAATTTAATAATATCATTATTATATAAAAATATAGTTTAATAACTTTGTATGTTTTTTAAGTTTTTTTTTTTAAAAAAATAAAAAATAAAATTCATGTATTGAATCACTTTATTACTAATAAAAGCCATAAAATTTCTTAAGTTATTAAATTCGTACATAGTATGTGTATATTCCAGGAAAATGATAGGACAGTACCCGTTCCTCTCGATTACTTTCCGCGGCAAAATCTTTAATGAATAATGAATAATATAATTAATTAGTAAATAATTTTAAATAAAATTATCGAAAAACAATCTTTTTAAAGGATTCAGCGACTTAAATAATGCTGATCATTGAATATAAATTGAATATATTTCACTTGCATTGCATGTTTCTCATCAAAATCTAAAATTTTTTCGACATGTATTGTCAAAATTCAACTTACCAAACAAAAAAAAAATTATATGGAACTTTTTAGCTTTCATCAAAAATCAAGAAGGTTTCCTTGAATTACGTAAATATAAATGTAAATGTAAATGCAAATGAAAATACAAACAAAAGTTTTTGAATTTTGTAAAAAAGAAAAAATTTTTTATTTAATGCATTAAATAATAATTTGATGATCAGCATTTTGCTGCGTTTTTTCACGTGATTGTTTAAAGTTCTATGTATAACCATAAGCTGAATCTTCAAGATCGCGACATTTAATTGAAAAATCAGTCACGATATCCTTAAAACGTTTAAGAGTTCTTGTACTATTAAAAACGTTCAGAAATATAAATTCTTTAATATATCAGAATAAATTTGATAAACCTAATTTCAAGAAATTACCTTAGAATTCCTTTAGCAAAATTTTGTTTGGTCAGTTGATTCACATGTGGTGAAGGGAAATTGTCCTATAAAATACAATTGTTAAAATGGGAATTATTTCTTAAAGAATATTATCTTGTAAATTTTACCTGTGCTAATAAGGTTCTCAACCATTCTCTACTAGCTTCGATGTAACGTCCTATCATCTTAAATAAAACCAAAGACATTGAAATAACACATGACCGTGGTAATTTACCTCCGATTCCCTATTTTAAAAACGATTCATTAAGATTCAAGCCATGATATATTAACAAAAAAAAAAGGACATAAACGTTTACCAATAACAACTCTCTCATTATCTCTAATCCATATGTCATCATCACATTTTCAATTCCCGTTGCCAATTCTTTATCATCATAATTTTGTCCTACGAATTCTCCCTTTACGTCATGAACATAATGAGCATAATATATATGTTCATGAAAACCAAGGGTCAATACAAAAATCAGATGCTTACCATAAAATTCGCCGCTGAATTCAAAGCTAATCTTTCCTGTAAACCCAGGCCTGCTACAGAAAATTTCATAATGCTATTAAACATATCAGATTGTAAGGAGTATAATATTAACGGGCATTTTCTAAGAATCTATTTATAAAATACATGAAAGATAAATTAATATTATAATATAGTCATTTTATAAATAAGTTTTTTAAGGAATCAAATTCATACTTCTGTGAGAAGCTTAAAATACGAATGAACAACATCTGGATATTGATCCATCTCTAATATAATAAAGATAATCAATTCAATTAAAATACGTATTCAATTGAAGTTAAATTCTTAAAAAAGAACAAGTTTACCAGCTTGATTTCTGATATTTTGTATAGTAGTAGAAGTTAAGGTGAATAACAAATCTCTCAAAGCGACGTTGTGTTTCGAACTTGATCCGTATACGATCACTATTTGAACTGCAATTTCTAACCAATTAGCGTGTGAATGTCGTTGGAAAGAAATTTGAATTAGATATACAATCACTTCGAAAGGCATGGAAAGCAAATGTGATTTAATACGGATTCCAGTATTAAGGAATTTGCAGAGACACTAAAAAATTAATTGAATATTAGACTAAAATGATTATAAATAATAAAAGCATTTGTGGTAAATATACCTCTATGACTTCACTATCTTGATACCAAATTTCTGCAATGTCGCGAATAATTTCTGATAAAGTATTAACCAGACCTTGAGCTGGTATTAAATCAAAAGCAAAATGATTTCGTTTAATTTCTGAATCATTTTCATCTATTATTATTAATTCTTCGTCGGGTGGTTGAATGCCACGTCCACAACATGTGAGATATTCTAACTGTGTGATAATAATTTCCCGAAATTGAGGAGGATTCTAACAATGAGGAATAAAAAAAAATTAGTAAGACTTTCGATATTGAATAAAGATGACCATATCAATTACTCAAACCTGTTTTCCAAGTACAATAGCATCCTTCATTGTATGGATAATATCACTGGTTATAGTCTATCAAAATAATCAACGTAAGAGTTATTTTTCTGGTCGTGGAAATATATTTTACAAATTAATTTACCAATAAAGGTTGTATCATCTTTTCTGGAGGTAAAGCCTGAATTACATCTGCTATCGATTCGATGACCTTTTGCTTTTCCCTTGGCTAAAGTAAAGTAAAAAAAAAAGTTAGTTTTTATATATAAGAAAATAAAATTAGTGATGTAACTATACATACTTCAATGTTTGGGCCAACGACTATATAAATTTTAACTAGATCTTCTATACCATTAACTAACGAATCACGACAAGTATCACAAATTTCCTTAAATGCTGTCGCAGCTGCTAAAGCCAGTTCAATATCGCTTAGCGCGGGAATAAGATAATTAAGTGCAGATAATAAATATTGAGGGTTATATTTGAACCATTCTGCATAAGAACCTATAAATGAAAATCAATAAATGAATGTTTAGGTCATAAGAATTGACTTTTTTAAAAAGAAATAAAATAAATCGAAAATACCAATAAGTGAAAGTGCAGTGTTTCTTAACTTTGAATGACCTTGTACAGGCAATACTCCATAAACTTCTGCACCAAAAAGTCGTGATAAATAAATGTTTTCGCCATGTTCTATGGCCTCAGATATTGATTTTATACAAAATAATGTAGATTCTAAATCCTAGTACAAAAACATAATTACTAAAATTTTATGATAATTAAATCATAATATAAATGCAATCAAAATAACTTATTACCTGCCACTGACTTGGAGCTCTTCCTGGTGCATTTATTTGAGATATGGCTAATTCTATTAAAAAATCCAGCATTTGGCATCGCAAAACGTAATAGGCATTCATTATTGTATCACCAACATCCCTTCTATGATGCCTAAACCGCTCTTTTAAATCTAAATAATTTATATAAATATATTTTAATTAAATGACGAGCTATATCCTTTAAAATAATAATAATAATAATTGACACCTTTAGACCATTCTGCCCATTCCGAATCTGGCGGATACTGTACTTTACACCGAAGAACCTCTATTAGTCTACGAAAAACGACCATAGATGAATCTCGTATTTGCTGAACACCTGTGAGTGAAATATTGGGTGTTTCAGCTTCAGGTACAGACGTATTATTACCAGATACATTAGGAATGACTGGAATTACTTCTGGATCGTATAAAGATTCTTGTAGCATAAACCAGAATTGTAAAGGCATCTCACTAATGTAAATTGGTATATTACGTTAAGAATGTTGCATAATTTAAAAAGGAAAAAAAAGCCATGTATATCATCAATCAAAAGATAAAAAGGATATTTCTTGATCTTGTCCAAAGTAGCCAGGAAATCCTGCAAACATTAGCATCATTTCTAAATAAACAGCTATATCCGGTCTTAAAAAATTAATTGCAATATAATTAGTAAATTGATCTCCAAAAGTTGTCATCAATCGGCAAAGATTTCTTGCAGCAAGTTCATCTCTATCTGATAATATTATTAATATAAGAACGGTTTTTGAAATTAATAATTTTGTTTTATCAAAAATTTCTCTTTTTGTAAAAATAATAATAATACTCTTCTATAAATTAATATAACATTGCTTTAACCTATTTTCTTGATTTTAAGCATTACCATTAATAGCTTTAGTTATTTGATTTTTTGCCCAGTCACTAGTAATACAATGAAGTATTTTTTCACAGACTGTATTCTGGTAGTAAGAAATACGAGGTTGTGAAATAAATTCCACTAAAACTTCTGTTGCTGCGTCATTAGTTAATTCGATTTGGAATAGAGTTATAACATGATCGACGAGAAGAAAAAGCGTTCTTTAAATAAGATAATGTAATCAAGTCATGAGAATAATAATAATTTAAATTTGCACGATATGATAAAACAATGTACTTTACTCAAAGGGTACTCCATATAGGATCCAGCTTTGCAAACATCGAAGACACTTTTGTTTTAGTAAAATGTCCCGTTCTGCATATCCGTGATGATTAGATAATATAGTCCTCAATATTGACATCACACGTGGAATGGAATCAATGAGTTCCTGATTGACTTTTGCTCTACATGTTGAATAAAAGAATTATAAATCTAGTTTGTAGCTAATCTTTAAAAAATATACAAATATTACTTTCTCTCTCCTATTAAATCAGCTCTTGAAATCTCCTCAGGAACAACTGTTAGAAATTCAAGAAGCGGTAATTCAATAAATAGAGCCTGACCCTGGTTTTGTGCCGTAACAGCCAAGGATCCGGTATGTAAATAATCAAAAAAATCTGATATGAAATTTGTCCAAATTTCGGGAACGGCGTGAAGTACAAAGGCTGTAAGCTTTTATGATCATTATTATCATTATTATTTTATTTTTAGCAAAAATTTTGTCATTAATCTATGAAAGTTAATTAAAATACTTGATTATATATAACAAACTTACGGCTAAACATAATTTAGTAATGACGACCATTGGCCCATTAGAAAGTCGCAAAATCCATCCTAGAAGTTCATTTCGGACCCATTCTTTTCGTTCAGGAGGTAAAGTATGCCTTCAAAAAAAAAAAAAATAAAATAAAAAAAAAGAAATTTCACATATAATATAAAATATATATTTGAAAAAATTTGATAATTCATTTTTATGATTCTTTATTAATAAATAATTACAAATACAAAAAAGATGTAAGTCTATATTATTAATTTTTTTATATTCTTTCGTATTCTTCTTACCAGTCTCTTGATATTTTAACTTGAAAAGTGTGTGCCCCGAAGAATTGAGAATTAACTGACTGCTTAGTCAGATAAATATAACAATTTACTAAATTTGTTCTATTGCCCTCCCAAAATTCAAACCAAATGACTAAAATTAAATCTATGAACTCAATGAAAAAAAGTTAATCGACATAACCTCAGAAGCCAATAATTGAGACGCTAATTCCCATGCATAATTTTGCTTTTGAATGTTTTGCAAGTATTCTTGCGCCGACTTAGAAAAGCGAGTAACAACGCCTCCATAGAGTTGTGCTATAATCTTTAGATTAAAAGTATTAATAAATATAATAGTGCGCTTTAAATATTTTAAACAAACTCAGCAAGAGAAGATAAAATAAATACTTGTTCAACTTGCGCTAACGAAGGTGGTGGTTGAGTGTCCATATCCATTGGAACGAATAAGCAAACAAAAAAATTTCAATGATTTGATTTATCCTTTCCTAGCATAATGGACATTCACTATATCACGAGGTAATAAATCAAATGTCGATCTTTTTGTCGATGCGTACACATCGAATGATCATCATTTGTTTTTGTTAGAATCTTCTTCTTCTTGTGAAGTTTTTTATTATCTTACTTAATAGACAAAGTCGGGATACAAACATTTTTAATATTAACGTAATAGATTTTTAAGTGATCCAAAACTAATCCTATTTCTTTTATATATGGGTCATTTCATAATGAGCGATTTAGGACATTTTATGTTTTGATTGTTAATATCTTATCATTTAAATATTGTAATATTTTTTTTATGCTTATTTATTAATTAAATCAAATGTAAAGTTAAAAATTGGCGTGTAGTAAATTTTATTGAGATTAGAGATATGTTATATAAAATAAAGAAGAATAAAATTATCAATAAAATGTTATTGTTAAAATTTAACATATATAATTGGGTGATCCATGAGACATTTATAATTTTTATAGGTTGATTATAATTCTCAGTTTGTATTATGTTTGTTTCAAGATCAGATGAGGTTGAGATTTGGTAAATTCATTTTTTAGATAATGAGTTTTTAGAAATCATCTTAAGATATATTTTGTTTTTTTTAGGATACTATTTTAATTATTTGTATATATAGAAAATGATTATGAATAATTTAATATGTATATATAACATATTTAATAATTGTTATAAAAATTTTACATAATAAAAGAATATATAATTAATTTGATGTAGTTTTGTGATTTTTAATATCTGGAAAAGTTTAGGTTTGATTGTGATATATGTTAAAGTCTCTAATATTTTTTAATCATTCTTTGATCTATCATGAAGGCTGATATGTCAAGGTGTAAGATATCAATATAAAACATCTGCTAAGTATAACATATGCTTATTCTGATGAAAAAATGATTTGATATAATGTGAGAGAAACTTTTAGTAATATCAAACTTTAGGTTTTATGTACTATAAAAGTGAAAGAATTCTGAAATGAATATAATGTACATTTACAATTATTTTCATGTAATTTATAATAGTGTATTTTTTTTTATAAATTGTAATATCTATAATAGAACCTCTGATTGAAAAAGCAATACATATATTTTGATTTTCAATATCAAAGTTGATTATACTAATAGTACTATTACAAATTCCTTGTTGCATTAAGAAGTTGTCTAAAAATATGACATGTGAATCTAGTTGAAGTTAAACAGAAGTTGAAAAGTTTGTTTTTGTTTTAAACATAAATTCAGAATATAATAGATCACATTCAGTAGAATTTATCATATTTATTAACTAGAAAATCAAAAATCTTCCATCAATACAGGTAACATATTGCAGATCATTCTGATTTATTGAGCAGTTTCTTTATATCTAATGATATTAGTTGTATTCAGTAAGGAATTGATAGCAGATCATGATAAGAATATAGAATGTCATCTTTGTAAGATTTATCATGTTTGAGAGGTAATGTTGCCTATTCAGATTTCTTTCAACATTCTATAAAAAGGATTATCTAATTGTTATAATTGTGGGTTTGTTAAAAATAAAGAATGAAATAATCTCTAACAAGTTATATAAAATACTAGTTTGCCTATAACTAAAGGTAATTAGACAAGATCATTAATAACAATTATGTTTATATCTCCAAAATGTATAGTATTATTATTGAGATTTGCAAAAATATCAGATATAAAGTTGAATAATTTTGCAGATACTATTGATATTTTTTCAATTATTATTATTAATAAGTCTTAGATGTTCATTAAACTCTTAGTTTGCATAAGCGGGATTCTGAAAACTTTATATAAAAGTTACCAGTAAGATAAGTAAAGTTAATATAAAAATCTGAAAATATTGCTTGTTAAGTCGAAAAATATTGTTATAAAAAATTTTTTAGTTGATTGTTAAATTGAATAAGAGTAAAATAATTGTTATATAAAATGGGTAATGATCCTATAATTATTTTTAAGGTTGTTACTATAATAAGTAATGATCATATATTTGTTTAAAAGGATATTATATATAGATATTGTGTAAAAATAAAAAAAATAATGATAAAAAAATTTTTTCTATTCAAAGATATAAGCTAAAAGTTCAAAAAAACTTCTTTTTATAGAATTTTTTCTACCTGATGATAGTAAATATGATTCTGATGAAACTCTTGATTTACTTGGATATAATCTAGTTGAAATTTCGAATGAGTAAAATAAAATAATAACGGATGATAAAGAAATAGAAGAAGTAGATGATATTATATCAAATGATGATAATAATGATATCATAATTTATGACAATGTTAATAATTTACCAAAAAGAAAGAGAAAACGTAGAAAGAAAATTTTTTTACAAAAAGATATAAATGAGTTATAAAATAAATTATACACAAATAAATATTTTATAGAAGAAATAACACTAAGATTAGTTCATTGTAAATGTGGTAAAGAAATTCAGTTGAATCAAGATTTTAGAGATAAAAATCTTACAAAACACATGGTGAATTAAACAATTGTAAATATAACATAAAAGGACAATAAAGTATTAAAATTTTTTTTAAACCTAAAAAAATTAGGAATGAAGAGAAAAATATAAGTTCAAAAAAGTTGCATATAAAGGACTGTATGAAGAAAAGTATTGAGAATATATACTTAATAATCCTGCTGAATTTGAAGGATCAATTAAACCCAACATAACTGCAAAAGAATTAATTTCCAAAACTGTTAAGACTAAACTTAAATTAAAAAGTCTTGGTACAACACAATACAATGATCTCAAAAATTATCTATATGTACATGCTATGAAGATATTAGATAAATCTATTATATTTATCAGAAACGTGCGAAAATTTTATAACTAGAATATCAGGTATTTGTAATAAATGTGATGAACTAAGAAAAATTGCTGTTTAAATCAAATAATTAATAAGGTATACATTTGACCATCCATATTGTATTTATAAAAAATTGAACCTTTTAAGTTTTTGAACTTATAGAAATGAGCAACTGGAAAAAATATTCGCTATATTCTAAAATGCTATCTTAAACATCCTTTAAACAAATTACTTGTTAATTTAAATCTTAAATCATTATAGATATCAAGCTGATGATGATCAATTTGGAAAAGATGGATTTTTTAATAAAGAAAAGACATTTCAAGAATTAGCATCATTAATGATACAAATATAGGAAAAAAAAATAAAAAAATAAAAAAACAACAGGTCTCCATTATTCTGAATACTTAAAACAATTTTTTAGTTTACTATCAGAAAGTAGCTGTGAATATGGAATTTTTAGACAAATATTTGTAAGAATAAACATTCGATCTATAAGATATTTATGAGCAAAAGAAGTTGATATTATAACTAATTCAGAATTAGTATATGAAAATATACTTAAATTTTCTCAATTAATTAAAGCACTTAATTGGAATTAAGGTTGCTTGTCTAAATTCATTTTGGATTTGGAAAAACAGTAAAACCTTTAGTTTCGCTAAATTTTTACTAAGTGTTTGATATAGTTTCGCCATTTTATAAGCTTTGATATAGTTTTACCTTTTTCCAAATTTTGCAGATTTTTTAATAAGATTTTAATATAATTTAACCAAGTTTTACTTTTACCATTTAGATGTCTGTCTAAACTCTTGATTTCGTCTAGCAACCTTAATTGGAATAGACCTATTATTGGAATGACAGATTATATAAAAATTTGACCTAAAATTACTTATTTAGATGAATTAGATGGTATCATTAGATCAACTTTAAAATTGTTAGAAACTTCAGTTAAAATATATAATAAGATTCATGATGTTATAAATAATATAAAACAAAAAAAAGCTATTGCAATTCAAGTTAGAGTAATAGTATTAAAAGTATGAATTAAGTATAATTTTAAATATTAATTGATTAAAAATATATTTATATTTTTTTTTTTAGATTTCTATTGAAAAAATTCCACCTCTTGTAATTTCTATACTACCACCAAATGGAGAATGTAATGCTACAAAGATTTATAACCTTTTAATGAATGTAATAATCATATCACTAGATGCTTATATTAATTTAGTTAGTTTGGGATCAGATAGTACTCTTGTTGAATATAATGCATAATAATTAATAATGAAAAGTAAAAAGACCAAAACTTTTTTTGAATTCTATGATAATTATTATAATGTACATTTTCAGGTGATTAAAAAATAATAAAATTATATGATTTTGAAAAGAAACTTTTAATTAAATAAATTAATAAAATAGATGTCAATATATCAGAATTTACCTATAATAACTGTGCAAGATGACAAACATGAGAAAACAAACAGCCCATAATCAACTTCATTCAGATGTAAGATTTTTATTATCTCACGAAATATATTTATTTTTTATTTATTTAGTGACTTCAAAGAGCAATTTAAGTATTTTGGTCAAAAAAAATCAACTTTGGTCACATAAGTAAAGTTGTTTAGCAGTTTCAAAAATATGTGTATATAAGATTTTATTATGATTGGATTAATGATTGTAAAGTTATGAACGTTTTTCATAATTGTATTATCTCACGAAATTTTTTTATTTTTATTTTTTATCTGTACAGTGACTTCAAAGAGCAATTTAAGTATTTTGGTCAAAGGAAATCAAATTTGGTCGCATAAGTAAAGCTGTTTAGCAGGTTTGAAATATATATATATAAATTTTTATTATGATTGGATTAATGGTTGTAAAGATATGAATGTTTTTCATAATATATTAGCAGTCATCTGATTTGCAGATTTATTACAACTTATAATTTTAAATTCTGCAGTTAACATAACTATATTAGTATCTTTTTTTTTTGAAAAATAATCAAATATAAAAATGTGTCAATATTTTTTTATATTTTTTTAAACAAAATTAATAATTGTATAGTTTCCTTTTTTAGACAGGTCAGGAATAAAGATGGGTATCATAATTAAGAAGTTACAACTTGGTTGCAACTCCTTATAAATTTATTTTAATATAAAAATTCATAAATAGTTGCAACTCAAAGTGTTGCAACTTAAGTTGCAATTAAAAAATTTTAAAAATAATTATAGGAACCATCTTTAGTCAGGAATCAGGTCAGATTAAATGTATATTTAATTCAGGTCAATTTTATGTCTAACCTGACTTGACCTTATCAGATCAGGTCAAGTCAATTACCTGACCCAACCCGACCTGTTCAGAGCTCTAGTTGTAACACCCATTAATGAACCATTAGTGTAAATGTTAAGTGAACTATTATAATTAAAAATATATTGAAGAAGGTAGTAGAAAGTTGTTAAAGTTAAAGTTAGTAGAAAGATTGTTCAATAAGATTATTGATTAAAGTATGGTTAATAGGAATTATAGAAGGTAAGATTGAAGGCATCACAGGAACATTCTGCTGTTATTGTTATATTCTAAATGATTGTCATCCAAGTAATCAGTATTTATAAGAATTAAGGATTTCTTTTAGTAATTGCATCATGATACTTGTACTTTTGTTTGGGTGTGAAGCTTTAGCTTTTTTAATTATAATAGTGTGAGCTGGATTACAAGACTGCACATATATAATAGATTTCAAAGAAGGTCTGCCTTTTTTAAATTAAGGTTATCTAAGAAAATCCAAGAGTTATAGATTGTTCATATTACAACTGTTACAAGGGATAATAGAGCGTTTTACATGTTAAGAAAGAATTTGGTTGTTTCTAGAAACAAGGACTAAATGTTGATAAGTCAATGAATTATTAGCAGAATATTTTCTTAGAACTCTTCCAGTGATTGATCGATTTGATTGAGCATGAAGAACTGACACAAATCCTCTTTTTTTATTATTAATATCTACATCTAAACTTAAAGAAAAAAATAAATTATTGGATGCTAATCTAAAAATATTTTTAATTATATTATTGTTAAAATTATTTAAGACTAAAGAAGAAACTAATGTATAAATTTTAGGAAGTTTAGAAAAAGGGAGCAAAATGATAGAATAACAAGAACAACTAATTATTTTAACTTAAAAGAGTAAAGAGAATCCATCAGTTGCCAAAAATTGATCAAGAAAAATTAGTTTGTATTTTTTTATCATAATCATCGATTGAGTCAATTGTGTTGATATTAAAAGGGAATCTAATGGTAACAAGCCACCTTTGATTTTATTTAGTAAGGTATCATTTAATTTGAAATTGATATCTATACAATTGTGCTTGAGTAAGCTGATCATTGCTTTAATTAGATTTTTATAGGATTTGTTATCATATGGTCGATTCTAGCATGCTAGAAGATAAATATGAAGTCCTTTATTAGATTATAACTGAAAAAGTCTAATCAGTGAGATTTGATGGTATAGGGAAGTAAAGTTAAATTAATATAAAAGGGCAATTGAGAAGGATTGAAGTTGTTGATTCCATGAATCTCTTAGTTAGTAAAAGATGTTTTCAGTGAATAGACAATTAGAAGCTGAAATAGCAAAGTGTGAATTATTTTTTATAAGAATTCTAATAGGAGAAGATATTCTAATGCATTTATAAAGTAGTTTGTAGGCGGTATTCTAAAAAATAAAGAGAACTATGTTGATAATATAACAAATTTGTTTATCTATTAAAGGTTTTTTCTTAAGTATTGTGATAAAGGATCGAATTGTTATTTATACATTGTTGTTTAACAAAAGTTGAAGAGTTGTTTATGTTGATTCAGACTTCAAGAAAACAAATAGAAGAACTTTTAGGAGGAAGGTTCAAAATTGATATTTCAAATTTCAATAGGACTGGAGTAAGGTATTCAAAAGAATTAGTGATAAGTTGAGACTTATTTTTATTAATAGCAGCTCTAGTAAATCCATAAAATTTATCAGTAATACTTAAAATATCTTCTAAATTTTCTTTGGAATTTAAAATCCAGTTAGCATCATCCATATATCCTAAAGAAGAATTTTTTAATGATAATGAAGAAGTAATCATATTTAAAATATCATCAGTCCATGTGTATTGTATTGAATATCCTTTGTTCATACTATTAATTTCACAGAGAAGTGGATTAAAATAGATACACCAAAGTAATAGTGAGATAACTTCTTCTTAGTCAATACTAATGTGAACGTCATAATAATCAGAAAGGCCATCTGCTGTAAACACAGCATTTTTTCTTATAGAGAAAAGGTTAATGATCATTTGGATACAGAATTCTGGTATTTTTAGTCAACGTATAGCAAGCTTAAGGATAGAAAGGTCAACACAGTCATAAGCTTTTGATAGATCTTGAAGGAGAATCCAAATATCTTTTTTGTTTTCTATCGCATCTTCTATTAAAATATTTATTATTTTAATGGGATCTTCAGTAGAACTACCAGGAAGTCTAGTAAAATTATTTTCTTTACAAATTTTGTGTTTGGCTATGATAGAAAATAAACAGTTAGTGATAGTTTTAAAAAAGCTTTTCTAGTAGTCTCAAGTAAAGTGATAGGACGTGTTTTAATGATATCACAACTTCATTCCATAGGTTTGGAAATTGGGTAAATATGTGTAATCTTCTATTCTGATAAGATATTACCAATTATAAAGTAAAGTTGTATAAGTTTCCAAAGAAGGTGTTGAAGGTTAGGTCTAAAATGTTTGATTTATTTATTATATATTCCAGAAGGTTCAGCTGTTTTTTCGTTAGGAAGTTTGGTAATCATAACAATCTATTCTTTAAAAGTAGGAGAATCCATAAGTCAAACATATCAAAAGCTGTTAACAAAATCTTTAGGAGCATATTGTGATAGCTATTGATTTGAAAGAGAAGTAGTAGAAGTTGTAAGAATAGCGTAGTTTTGAAAGTGATTATTGACTAATGTTTTGATTCTTTTGGGATCAGAGACAAGTTCTTTAGAGCCAGAAGGTGTAATAATCAATAATCTGTTTAAAATAATCTGTTTCTTATTTCGTCTAAGGGTAGATTAAATCATTCTTTTAGGATTCAATTCATATTGAAGACATCTTTGATATATAAAATGTTTAATTTTATTTTGTTTTCTTCTATTTTAGAAAGAGCTTTTATATTTCTATATAGATCTAAATATATTTTCTAGTAGTTATAATATTATCAGAAGTAATATGATGTGGGATAGATTGCATTAGAAGATCATCATTATTTATTATATCATACTATGTGATAATATCTTCTTCTCATTCTACTTCAATAGGTTAAGTTTTAGATTATACTTTTTTGTTATGAAACTTGAGAAGAATTCTGTTGAATTTTTTAAGTTGATCATAATAAGTAACCAATTCTTTAGGTTTAGGTACATGATCATAAGAGGTTATCAATTTATATGGAATGGTACAAGAGGTAACTTAAATTATACCATTGTGAATAACTTCTCATAATTCTTCATATTTGCTCTATTTGAAGGTAGATCAATAAGCAGTTGAGGTGTTATTTCTTCTAAGATTATCTTACGAATATTGTGAGTTCTTTCGTGGATTTAGAAATATAGAAGTGTAAGCGAAAGCAGTTGAACAAGTAATAATGATAAAATCGCAGGTGTCAGTTTTCATATTTTCGTCTTCTTCAATAGGAATATATTCATCTATATTCAAAACGTTAAAAGGCAAGGTTTGGTTTGATAGAAAAATATCAGCAACAACAGCTTCGTCAGAAAGGGAGCTAAGGTCAGGAGAAGATTTTGACGAAAAGGCAACAGTTTTAGATAACTTATTTTTTGGGTTGAAACGAAAAGTATTTTTTAAACCGGTAATATGTCTGTTTTTTGCTACCATATTTGTTTGTTTGTAAAATTTAATAAAAACTCTTTCAAAATAATTTGTTTGTATAATAGGAGCAATAAAACTAAGTGGAGTTGAAAAATATTAGAAATATTTAAAGCAAGACGTTTTTATTTTCTAAAAAAATTTTTGTTTCCAAAAATTTTTGGGAGAAGAGAGAAAGAGTTCTTAGAAAAAACTTTTTTTTTTGCTTTACTAGAATCTTGCCGATGATTACATAGTGCACAAAGTTCATTAGAAGCTATACGACTTATTTGTTGTAAATCACTATTACCCCTTTTGACACATTTAAGCCCAGTGTGAGTAGATACATGATTGTCAAATACCCAAGTAGACTGCCACATCACTAACCCGTGTAGGAGAATGCATGGTACCCGTTATCATATACATTCATCACTACTACTGGAAATTAGGGTCAAGAACAACCTAAGATGATAGCCTACACCATAGTTGCCTTGCCATACGTCAAAATCACCCAGAGAATTGAACCCCAGCCTTAAAACCCTAGTTGTGATATAGGTACCACGATGATTGAAGACACTGCAATATCAACCAACTTAGGTACCTAAATGGTAAAAACAAATATAAACCAGGACCAATGTATATCATTTGGTCAATCTCAAGCTCATTGCCTGTAATAAATAGTATATTATATATTAAAATAAAGAAACACATTTGTGTTCGAAAATAGCTTACTAAATCCCTGAGCAAGAAAAATTCCTAACGTCTTGCACATGTTTCATATTGGTAGCTCTGTCCTTGTTATGAACTTGTTAAGAGCAAATACGCCCTCATTCATTAATTTGATTCTATCAGTATTAAATTTATCAGGACCTGGATTACCAGGATCTCCAGAAACTTCAAGCAGAAATAATGGGATTTGTTTTGGGCGTTCAAAGAATTCAGCTACTCCATCGCTTTGTAATCTGTGGGTTGAGAATCCATCTTAGTAAAATAGTTCTCACATGAAAAGTATTGCACAGAGTCAAGAAAACTAAATGTAATGAAAAAAAAAATGCTAATATGTGTGCTGTCCATGATCGTTCAGTAGTGTTTTTTTACTATTCCTTTCATTTTGGTGACAACATCTAAATGACTGGAAACACTTTTAATAATATTTATATCGTGAAATTGAGCTTGATCGTAACTTAGCACTGGAATGGGAATGGTATTTAATAGGAACCAAAACTTTGTGGCTGTTTCATTTAAATTATGTACTATTTTTTCTATTTCAGAAACAGCTTCGTCTTTAATATTGACACCATTTTCAATATCACCCCTTTCCCCCTCTTCATCCTCTTCTGAAGATTTTCTATAATTTGATCGAATAACATCATATATTCACGCGCAATCTTACCCATATGGATATTTTCGTCCTCTAAAGATAATCTTTCGAATAGTAATCCTAGTTCAGCTTCGTCCAAAGATTATGTACTTGATTTAATAACACTTTATTTCCTAAATTTATCACATAATAACTTACTCTGACATCACGAGCGTGCCATATAGTTTTGAGTTTATTATAATATGTTGGGAACTTGATTTGTCTGAAGGCATTGGAAGCTTTGGTCACAGAATTTAACAAATCTTCCAAATCTTCTTGAGAGGTACCTTCTTCAACCGACTCTTTTTCATTTCTATTTTTGATCTGTATGCATATCCAAAGGTAAGAAAAGATTAAAGGAATTCATGTATACTAATTATTATATACAGGTTGTATACCTTCTTAAAAATAACCGCCTCTTCATTTTCATGAGATCGCTTGGAGAGTAGGGCATCCTCGATTTTGATGTCTTCTTCACCTTCAAAAAAATCGGCATCCTCAATGTTAGATTGAAGGGGAAATGGATGAAGAGTGCAGTCCCGAAGATTTGGAGAAGTGATTGAGGAGGCTTCCTCGGCTGACTGTTTCTTTTCATTTTTTGAAATCCGTGAGTGATATAATTTATGACAAAGGACGCAAACAAAAACATAAATAACAGATAACACTTCACCTTTTTCGCTGATGTTATAGTTTCAGATGCAGATTCCAGGTTTGCAATTGCACCATTACCCAGAGCACCAACATAGCGTTGTACGTGCTTTAGAGCTTGAGTCATGTTATCAATCTATATTCATCACAAAGTATAAAATGTACAATAGTTGGTTCATTCCATATATATACAGTCGATATAGAAGAGTTACCTTAAGAAGTTCTAAATTCGTCTTTTCCTGTTCGATTCGTTGAATACACAACTCGTCTTCGATAATGAGCCACAATTTGTCTATATCATTACCTTTTTTACGATAGATCTACGTTACAAAAGAAAAGGCTATTAGTTCGAAAATTTTTCCTGCGTTTTGTTAAGCTAAAGCTTTGTGATTAGTGCTGTAGTAGGCCACGACAAACAAATAGTTCATCAAAGGAACACCGAATAGCTGTACCTCCTTGTTGTGATGACAAAAAGTTTATATGTAGACTCCTATCCTGAAGCATCACAAAATATAATATAATGATCCTTGCCTTGCTGGTTGACAGAAGTTCGCAAGCTTTCCTAACTTTAGTGGAATCTAAACTTTTATCAACAATATTACGGAGACTTTTCAAAGATATTGTCTGAGGCCTTATTGTAAGTAAGCTTTATAGGGTCCTCTTTGTAAGTGCTGATCCAATTTTCATGATATTGAATAATATTCTAAGCTTTAACTTCGGTTTCATTAAAGTAATTAGCTATTATATTGGACAAATGAGCAGAGATCGCGCAAAGAAATATAAAAAACGCGATCTCGCTAATCACGTGAATGTTACGCACACCCATAATTTTGATCACGTTATTATCCGGAGCGTAGCGAAGGACTATATAACAGTCACCATGTCGATCATAGCAAAAAAAATTATATAGATGTCGATCCTATGATCAGCAAAATTTTATATGATTTTTTGCCACTTTTTTGACTTCGCATATAAGATAACTGTGTGACATTTCTAACTATTTTA